TGCAGGCTGTCCCCTGCCATCAGGGTTACAGACAAGAGCTGGCAGACACCACCCCAGCATACCCACGACCTCCTTCCCCATGGCTGCCATGTGCTACTTTCCCTTTCTCCATTTAGGTCCCTCACTTTGTTCCAGACACACCAGCTGCCCGGGCAGACCTGGCAGCCCAGTACACAACCATTGGGCGCATGGACCAAGGTAGGAGCCACAGGGGCCAGGCTGGTGCTGGTGAGCCCTGCAGTCCCTCCCATCCCTCCTCAGCTCTGCCCCTCCATCCGCAGGGATCGGGCTGGTCCTGGAGGAGCTGCAGCGTGCTGGCTTCCACAACAGCACCCTGGTCATCTACACCTCTGACAATGGCATCCCCTTCCCCAGTGGCAGAACCAATCTCTACCGGTCGGGCACTGCCGAGCCCCTGCTGGTCTCCTCCCCAGAGCACACCACACGCTGGGGACAGGTCAGCCAGGCCTTCACCACCCTGCTGGGTAAGAGCCTGTACCCCCTGGGAGGAAGAGGCATCAGCTGGTCCCCACCTGCCCTGTGCCAAATCCCAGGGTCCTCTCCCAGAGGACATCCTGCAACCCTTGGTATTGGCATGGATGGCCCTGGGAAGGGAGAGGAGGGACAATGGAGCAGTGTGGTCTCCTGCATGGATGGACATCATCCTGGGGCTCAGCTCTGCCGCTCATCCCAGGACCACCCATGGCAGCAGACCCCAGGGGCCTTTCTGCCCCCACAGAGGCTGAGTTCCCTCCCACGATTGCCAGCCCCTCCTTTCACCGTTCTCTTCCCTCTCTAGATCTGACACCAACCATTCTGGACTGGTTCTCCATCCCATACCCTCATTACAGCATCTTTGGCAAAAAGCGGGTGCAGCTCACAGGGAGGTCCCTGCTGCCAGTGCTGGAGTCAGAGCAGCCCTGGGCCACTGCTTTCAGCAGCCAGAGCCACCACGAGGTGACCATGTACTACCCCATGCGAGCCATCCAGCACCAGCAGTTCCGCCTCATTCACAACCTCAACTACAAGATGCCCTTTCCCATCGACCAGGACTTTTATGTCTCACCCACTTTCCAAGACCTGCTTAACCGCACCAGGGCCGGGCAGCCAACCCACTGGAACAAGACCCTGCACCAGTACTACTACAGGGACCGCTGGGAGCTCTTTGACTGCAGCTGTGACCCCAGCGAGAGCCAGAACCTGGCCCCCGACCCCCGCTACGCCGCCGTCTTCCAGCTGCTCCGCTCCCAGCTCCTGAAGTGGCAGTGGGACACGGGTGACCCCTGGGTCTGTGCCCCTGACGCTGTCCTGGAGGAGAAACTGAGCCCCCAGTGCCAGCCACTGCACAATGAGCTGTGAGCCCCAACTCTGTCCCCCCCTGCCCTGGGACATGCCTGTCAGACATGAGGGGGTTGGAGCCGGGTGGCAGCTGGGCCAGCCTCAAATCCCTGAGTGACACCCCAAGGCTCTGCTCTCCCTGTCACAAACACTGCCTGGCCCTGATACATTCAGGGATCCTTGTGCCTTTATTTTCAGCCAGAAGGGCCATAGGGCCAAGCTGCTCCTCAATAAAGTCCCTGGAGGAGAGGCCTCTGTTTCTCCCTAGAGCTGAGCACATCCCTGCCAGCTCCTGGCACCCAGGGGAAGAGGCTGAGCCAGGGCCCAGCAGCACGTTTCAGGACAGGCAGTGGAGAGGAGCATAGACACAACCTGCTCCCAGCAAACAATGACTTTATTCACAGCACTGTTTCCTCGCCCCCTGCATGGATCCCCCCAAAAAAACACAGCCAGGGACTCCCAGCAGTCCCTCCACAGGTTACTGGTCTGGCACATTGACAGATTTGCTGTCTTTCAAGGCACTTGGGTCTTTTTTTCCCTGTTTTGGAGGGGATTCCCCATCCCCAGAGGTTGTGCAAGCCACCCCAGTGCAAGTCCACTGCTCACATCTCCAAGTAACTCACATTAGCATGAAGGGAAGCTGAAGCCCAGGAGCGCCACTGGGTGGAAAGAGCAGCAGCAGCTCCAGTTTTACAAGGGATGGGATGGGATGAATTTGGCCCTAGAGCCAGGGGAGCAGCATCACCTCTCCCTGCCGAGCAGCAGGTTTGGCGTGGGCTCAAGACCAAGTGATCACAAACTGCTCCCACATTGGCAGTGACAGGGGAACTCTCAGCACCTGGGGGGAGAGAAGGAAGGGTCAGCACTGCCAGAATGGCAGATGGAGCCAGAGGGGTGTCCTGCTCCCCTGGGGTGCATGCAGAGCCACAGCCTGGCACAGCCCCACTCCTGCAGATCCCTCTGGAAAGGGTACCCATGGCAGACAGCCCTAGGAGCAGAGCTGTGCCACGGCTCCTTTAGCTCCACCTCCATCACCACACATCCTTTCCATCCTCCATCTCTCCATCCTCACCCCCTTGCACAGCCTACCCTGCCCCAGCCCCAGGGCAGGAACACAGCCTGTGCTGGGCAGCCCTTTATGCTCCTTGGTGCCAGCAAAGCAGGCACTGTGCCACTGCTGGGGCCAAACCCTGCCAGCCCCTCGGCTGGGCCCCAGGTTCCTTCTAGCAGCTCCCCTCCTACCATCACTCCCTCCCACAGGGGGACTAAGCACTCACCTGGGTGTCGCTGCGGTAAGAGAAGTCACCCACAATGGCACCGTTGGCCATGACTTGCTGAGGAGGGCTGGTGACACCCAGCACAGTCACAGCCTCCAGCAGGACCCCGTCGAGGTGGGCGCTCGCCCGCAGGAGCTGGCTGAGCACGGCGCCCTGCAGGGACAGGGGGGCTGTCACCCCATGCTCCCAGGTCCCACACACGCCCAGGGCTTCCCCATATGCCCTGCCCAATGCACTGCCCAGCTGCTCAGTCTGGCACTTTGGGCACGACACAGCTTGGCTGCACCAGGGCACGGTGCTGCCCGTGACCGTGGGGGCACCAGGGCCACCAGGAGCTGTGCGTGGCAGTGAACCCCCATGCCTGGATGCTCCCCTCCAGCAGCCCCCCCATCGCTCACCGGTGTGGCCAGGAAGAGGAGCTCAGTGTAGTCCCCCTTCTCAAAGGTCTGCCAGCTCTCCCCATCATCCCAGAACAGGTCTCCCCTGGCGAAGCCATCAGGTGTCAGTGCCACCACCAAGGCCATGCCCTTCTTGCGGGACTCGACAGTGCTGAACGCAGGCTCCTGGGGAGCAGGGTCAGGCACAGCTCCAGGTGCTGCCAGGACCCCCAGCCCAGCCAGACACCCCAGGCTCACTGGTGACCGTGTTGCCACTCTCTGCTCTGTCCTGCCCCACACATGGGCAGGGGCTGCCAGGTAGGTCATCACAGTGTCACTGTAGCACAGAAGAGACTCACCTGCAGGGGCAAAATGTGCCCAGCACGGACATGGACGTTAATGGTGTCCAGGGGAGCTGGCAAGAGGATCCACTGCCCTTTGCTGTGGATGGTGGAGTCCTAAAGCACAACAAATAAAGGAAAGAGCAGACGTAGGGTGCAGAGTGCCCAAGGGGGTCCCAGCCCAGCACTTCAGCCCTTGAATGGCTGTGAGCGAAGGCAGGTGAGGCACGAGGGCTGAGCACAGCCCTGGGGGGTCAGTACCAGTGGTGGGGTGCAGGGACACACACTCGGCCCCACCATGAAGCCCTTGCACAGCCCCCTGAGAGCCCCACCATGCAGTGGGAGAGCACCCACCCCCATGAGGCTGTACCACGTCCCTGCTGGGAAGTAGCCCATGACTTTGGTCTTTCCTGCCTCCAGCACAGGAGTGATGAGCAGCCCCCCACCCCACAGGAGCTGGCGGTCCACGGTCCAGGTGTTGGGGTCCTTGGGGAACCTGGGGAGGGAAGCAGGGGGCAGTGGTGGCAAGGGTGAGCTCAGAGCCCACTCAGCCAGGACCGGAGCATCCCCCCAGCTCTTCCCGGGGCTCCCCACAGTGCCTGGCAGACCCTGCACCCACCTCCCACTGAGCCCGGGGAGACCAGCACCCAGCAGCCCCAGTTTGGCCAGCACTCACTCAAGGAAGAGAGGCCGGGCCACTGTCTCCCCAGCAGAGTGAGCCCGGTGGAAGAGGGTGTAGAGGAAGGGCAGGAGGGAGTAGCGGAGGCGGAGGGCGTCCCTCATGGCGGCCTGGGCAGCTGGGCTGAAGGCGTACGGCTCCTGTGGCTGCAGGGGACAGGCCAGAGGGGGACACTTTGACTGTGAGGGGAGGAACCACGGGCACCTTTGGGAGGGATGCGGGATGGACTCCCGGCATGAGCCCAGCACCCACGGCGCAGGCAGGGCAGTGCGAGGATCCCCGCTCCTGCCCTGCCCACCCACCCCTCCCACCCACAGGGCGCGGGGCCCGGGGCTCACCCGGGGAACGTGGT